AACAAGCAAAAAGGTTTTGCTAGAGGGAAAAAGGATTACCTCAACATCTCGACTTTTTTCACCTCTACATAGGAAATCTCCATGAGAATCTTCTCCCTTTTCTCCATGAAGATGATGTTTTTCCAGTTTACTGCCACAAAAAATCTGCTTCTAGGCAATGGGGGTCCTGTTGACAAATGGCAAAATATTTTTTTTTTCTCATGTAAATGGCTTTAAATAAACCCTATAGCCAGAAGAAGGAAGTGCAGAATGTAAAATATATACAATCTAAAAGGGGTGAGGTAACTATGGAGGAGCTGCAGAGATGCAAAATTTATATCAAAGATTACTGATGTGTTAGACCGTTAAGTTAAAGTCAATGCTTTAAACAAATTGAGAAGCTGAGAGAAGACTTGAAAACTGACAGACCTCAGTGTAATATGAGCTTTCTAGGAAGGAAAATGTTGGTGGCTTGATAGGAAAACTGGTAGAAATACCTAAAAGCCATTTATAACCGAAGTCATGGGTGATTAATTTGTGCAGCAAGTAAAAACTCAATGTGTGAATGTTCCTTTTGCTTGTTTTATAAAAAAAAGTTTTATATTTAACTGGAAATTATCTATATTTATCTTTTCGCAACAGTTCGGTCTTGTCTTTTCCCGTTATGACAGTTTTCATATTTATGTTGTATTTGTATGACCTGCTGACCTTCAGCTAGGTTTTAGAGAAGCTATATCTGTTTGTTTTGTTTTTGTCTGGTTAAGAATGTTTTTTAAACAATGTATTAAAAGATTTAATTGGAGCATAACTGATTTACTGCTGCCATGATTTCACAGGTCAAGGCAAGACAGACGGATACAGGAGATAATTCCTGCCTACAGCTATTAACACCTAAAAAAACAAAAATAAATAACCCTATAAGTTACTGGAACATTTAAATTAATTTTGGGATTAATAAAGTATTTCTGAATTTATTCTTTAAGTAGAAAACACAGCATATTGGGGACTTTTCTGGGACCACTAGATATATAAACAGCACAAAATGGCTGCCAAAGCACCAGGAAAGGTAGCGATACTTCCAAGCATGTGACAGCACACACAGCTATCTGCCTTAAAGGAGAAGAACAGATAAAGAAAAGAGGGACCAGAAGAGGAACAGTGGCCAAACAAGAAAGAAATCATAAATATGTTCACATTTTTCTACAAGTGGAGATCATTGTTTTTGCCTAAAACTAGGCTTGAATTAAAATCTGGCTGTAGTTCTGCTGAATGTTCTAACTTCTTTATTAGTAGTTCTTGGTTGTATATTACTTTCTGCTTTTATGGCATTTTATCTGGATATTGGATGCGTGAAACAAAGGATTTTGCATTAGCTTAAGATGCTTGTTTAATACCCTGGGAGGAGACCAGGAGGGAGGGAAGGAAGATTTCTCATGGGGGAGAAAGCAGTTTGGTTGGAATCCTTTGCAGGATCAGGGATAGTTCCTTAAAAGAAAATGAAAGCCGCATTTCTACTGACCTGACATCATTGTGACGTCAAAAAGCTTCGAGAAGTCGAGCGGCCAGGTTTTTTGGGCAATGTCCACCACCTCTCCTTTGACCTTTTCTGCCTTTAGTCTCCCGTTGTTATACGTCTCCTACAAGAATCAAAGGTTTATTAAGCTCAACTCACAATTTTAGGGGAACTTTTACAGAAAAAATATCAGACCATCTCTAATCAAACACATCCAGACTGTTCTCCTTTACCATTGAGAGCTCTGCAGTAATGAGCTGAATCCATCTTGTCATGGATCTTTGCTCAATCTGTGTGGTCGGGATGCACTCCTGGACCACCTCTCGGACATTGTCCCTAGTGGGCTCCTGAGAGCCGAAGCAGACAAAGTAGTGCTTTGCAGCCAGCTGGACAAATTCATCCTCCTGTGAAATACAGAAGAGATTTTACTTTGGATTGGAATTAAACAGCAATTTCAAAGCGAATATAAGACACGTCCAGTGTCTTAAAAAACTCTAGATCATACGTCAAACTCGAACTTGCAGGCCAAATCAGGACCATAAGGGCCAAAAAAGTTATATATTTCATTAGTGCATTCAGCATCCTTAAGGCCACATGAAGCATATACATTTGCCTTCCATCCTTTTATTGATAAATATTTCTTTTTTTTGAAATTGAGACTTTTTTATCGTTGTGTAATTTTATTTGCAATGGAAAAAGAGACAAAAAAATTTCAGGTGAATATTGTGAAAAAGAAGGATACAGAGTTTTAAAACTGTCTACAAAGGAAGCCCAGAGAACAGAGTAGCTCATCCTTTCTAAATAGAGGAAACATAGTAAGGGCAGCATCATGCTGTGGAGATAATGGGTTTCTTTTATCGTCTCCCTACAGATATTACACTAAAAACGCATTTTTTAAGTCTCTGCTTGGACGCAGAAAGATCCAACCTTAGTAAGAAGCATGTTAAAGGCTTGTAACCTAGATAAAGGGTCTATTTCCACTAGGACAACTGTCAGTAAAATCATCTTTTGTTTTCTAGTCATACTATTTATAAGATCTTCAGATGAACCACATTAAAATATGTGGTTGTGTGGAAATGTTCAAAGTGCAAACGTTTTTGCAAAGCACTGTGCTTAGCACAGATAACCTGAAAGATGTGGCCCCTTGTTTTATGTTGGGTTAACCAAAGTCAAGCTTTATTTCTAAAAGCTGCCTTTCAATTTTTCTGTATCAAAATAACAACAAAACAAGAACAAACTCCCCCAAAGAACAGGCTAAGTTAAATTTTTTTTTTGTTTCAAATTTCCCCAAAAACAAAAAAAAACTAAAATTAAGCACCTATTCTACTTAAGTACAGAAGACATGTGAAAAACCTCCATAAATAGCCACTCTTCTGACGCGTCTCCAGAGTCTCACCTTCTCACAGACGTATTCTCCAGACTTGACTCCTTTGATGACCTGCTTGTAGATCAGATCTGTGCTCACCGAGTCCTGGGAGGAGTCGTGCCACGGTGCAAACAGCTGCTTACGGATGGAGAGGCTCCAGGGTGTGTCCTTCTCCTCCCTGCCCTGCCTCCTCATTTCCTGCTCGCACTGAGATACGGCATCCAATACATGCTTCTTCTCACAGCAGCCTAAAGACCACATCTGGAGCCAAAAACACCAGCCGGCTATAACTATGTGATAGAGACTATATATGTCCACATGACTTGAATCAGATGCTTTTAAAGACCTTTTCATAGAAGCTGATGTAGACGGCGAAGCCAAAGGTGTCTTTGAGCCCAATCTTTTTAGCCACAGCCTGGCAGACTTCAGATGTGGTGGTGGCTGAATCCAGCTGTACGGCGATTTTTTCTCCATTCATTAGTGTCACCGACCAATTAATGGGCTCCTTTTTGTTGGCAGCCTGTTATTACAGATGATTATGAACAAAACAAGATTACATTTCCACTTTTACCTTGAACAATCAGACATCTTGCCGACTAAAAGTCCAACAGTTCAGCTGGACTTTACCTGCAGCTCTATCCAACAGGGGAGCTCTTTTCTTTCTCCATTGGCTACTATACGATGCAGCCTCTCTGTACAGTATTCTCTGTAACCATTTGGACCTCTGCGAAGGAAATGCTCCAGATACTGTGGAACAGAGAACAGTAGGACATTTTAAAAAAAGGTGGCTCTAGATGGGGACACCTGATTTCAAGAAAACAACATAGGTAGTACTTTAGTCTTCTGCTAAGTTCACACCGAATGCGATTTGAGCAGCAAAGGAGCTTTTGCTACTTCTTGTTTTTGTCTACAGTACATTAAGGTCAGATGCACTTCAGGAATATTTTTGGTGCTCCTGAGGCACGTCCAGTAAAGTTTGTACAGATGCGTCTGATGCTTCTGCTGCTCATGTGTTCAATGGCAGAGCAGCTTTGCTATATTTGTTGTGATCAGTGAGTAAAAAGTAGTTTTAATATATTTTTATGTGAAAAAGTCTACCTAAAACAACATCTGTGCAGTCAGTTTGTCAAGATTACGATCCTGGCTTAAAATATTATTTTGCTTTCAGAGCCGCTCAGATCATACCGGCGGTGCGCTGTCACTGGGATTCCCCAGCAGCAGCTTCCACAAGCACACTCAAATGCTTGTGAAGCACGTCTGCGCCTCAGATGCTCAGAAGCTCATGAGGCGCTGCTTCAGCTGCTTCGGTGAGTGAAGATGCACCACTCCTGCTGCTCGGGAAGCGCTGTAGGACATTTTAATGCACCTTGACATGTGTCAACCATTGACTTTGCATGTAAACTAGCTGCTTCTGCTGCTCAAATGGTGTTCAGTGTAAACATAGCACTATAAAGATCCATCAAGTCATAAAATCTTCATGAAATAAATGCCAATGTCTTGCTGTAATTTTCTTGCTCATATTAAAACCAGAAACTTCTACTTTTTTACTTAAAGTGTATGTTACAAACTTGCTAATCGTAGTGCAGAACTGTAAAGGACAAGCCAAAGAATACATGGTTTACATAGTTGTAATGACATTGATTTTCTCTGGGGTTACGCGTGTCTACAAGCTTTGCACATCTAGAGCACATCTTGATTTACCATACATCTGATAGTCACTGGCCCAATCATACTGGATGGACAGTGCGTGTAGATGTAGATTTAAAGGTCTATACGCAGATTCTCGATAGATTCTGGACTGGACTTTAATTAGACCATCATAGTATAAACCTATGCTTTGCTGTAAATCAGGGGGTATCTAAAGTCAGTCCTTGAAATAAAATCTTAAAGGAAAAGTTCGGTCATATTAAGAATTCAAATTTCTGAAATTACTTAAATATGAAAATATTACATATTGTTTAAGAAATGACAAGTGTTTTTAATCAATAGTCATTTTCATTTCAATGTGCATCCACCGTGACGTCACTACCGGAAGATGTTAGGAGAGAGGCGTTACTATATTTTGTCAAAAATGTCCATTCCCGGATTCTGTGATTACGACGAAAATTATTATTTTTATTTTTTTACTGATTAACACTAAATTCATTAAATCACCTTGAATGTATTAGTTTAGTTATAGATAATGATCCATTTTCCTTGAAATATTTCCCTGATTTAAGCTTTGGTGAATTGCAGTAATCTGTCTCAGGTTTAAATCAGGGAAAATTTCTAAAACCTGCCGGAGACCGGCCCTGGAAGGCTGAACCTTGGCCAGTCCTTCTCTAAATGCTCTAGCTCTAGCTTCTCCAGCTACAAGTTTAGGGTCTTTCTTCTGCTGGAAGGTGGACATTTCCTTCTAGAATAGCTCCGGTCTTAAACTGCATCCCTGTTCTCATCATTCTAAATAGAAAAGCCTCTGATATCCCTTTACTGCAGCACAACTTCAGTTAAAGCTTTCAGCAGTTAATGCTTTAATAAAAAAGATAAATAAATCAGTAAGAGGAGAGATTACTGACCCCCATGAAGAGGCTTGTTGGAGGGAAGATCCCCAGACAGAGGGCGAGGAGAGCCCAGCCTTGCATGCAGCTCTTCCTGTTCTTGTTGTTCACCAGCTGCTTGCAGATCTGACAGTAGATCTCATCTCTATAAGTTAAAAGTAGGAGCAGGAATATAAAAATCCAAAACACATCATTTCACTCATTTAAGATGTCCGTGTTCTGGTTTTTACCTCACGCCTTCTCGTGACAAACCATATCCAACAATAATGTGCAGCTTTTCCAGCTGTGTCAGCTGTCGATGCAGTGTTGGGCCCTCTCCAACCAATATGTCCTCGTCTTCAGTTAGATCCTCCGGCTGCAAAAGAACATTTAAGCTTTAAAATAGAAATCATTCATAAAAAGAACAGAAATGACAACTGAGTGACAAAATGTTGTGTCAACCTCCTCCAGTATAGCTGAGGATTTTCTGGTTCCACCGTCAAGCTTCTTCTTGTTCCTTCTCAGGATTTTCTGTTCAGAATGAAAATGTTTTGAAAAAGTGATAGGCAATAAAAATGTATATATTTTTTAAAAGCAAATGCTTCAGAAGCCTACCTGATCAAGTCCCACCAGGTTGCTCAGCCTCCGGCCTTGTCTGTTTGGAAGCAGACGAGAGATGGAGCTTTGGGAGATGTTGCTGGACTGGTGAGAAAACTGAGAGATTGCATCTGCAGATCTCTGCTCCGATATGTCCCCCATAAACCGCATAATGATCCATGACAGAGTCAGAGACGCCTGAAGGAGGGAACCGATGAATGTAAGGCAGAAATGTTTAACACGGACAGCAGGAAGGGCAAGTCTTCTTGTCTCATCTTACCAGTGCGTCTCCTTCATCCTCGTGATGCAGGAGGGGCTTTTTCAGTCTCTGGGGGGTGTGCTTGTGGTTCTCCCTGTTCTGGAAGTGAAGTTTGCTGAAGTTGTAAAAGGACATTAAGTCGCTCTCGTCGTCAAACCTGTCATCAAAGTCTTCATCTAACTCGTCATTGATCGATGGCGTAGGGGTGATTGAGTTAGAAGCCGGCGTGATGATAAACGTCATCTCGTTGGAGCGCTGAGGGGTTTCCTCTTCCATCTCCACAATGTCCTAGCAGACAAAAACAAAAGAGAAAGGAACTGTTTCAGCATATTGGTGAAGGTTAACTTGTTACTCACTTCAAAACAGTTATCATCAAACCTCAGTCTCTGATTTAGTGTCATCCGTGTCCTCATCAGAAAGTTTAAGCTTGTCATACATTCTTCCCACTGATTCAGGTTCGCTGGAAATGTTGGATTCCACGTCGGCAAGCTCTGAAATAACTTCTTGCTCTGCAGCAACCTCTAACAGCCGTTGCTGGAGTTCGATGGCGATGTCTTCTTCTTCCTCCTTCATTTGTGAGAGCAAAGCCAGACCTGCTAGTTCCTTCCGGTAGTCTTTCCTCGCCCGGTAGCCTCGTACCTAGATTCAATTTAAGCAGAAGAAATTAAAAGGGAAAAAAAATAGAACTGGATTTGTCAAAATATTTGTAAAGTTCTGTAATTTGGAATGTATTTTTTTTAGGTAATAAAGATAAAGAAATATGTAGACACAGAATAAAAACATGCATACATATATATAATATGGCTCTATAAAAAAACTTACAGATTAAAAAAAAAAGATAAAAAACTCTTTGAATATTGTTGCTGTTTTATAATCTGGAAATAAATTATCTTGAGGGGTTTCAATTCTATTTCAATATAATCTAATATAGAAAAACACCAAACAGATTCCACATTAGCTTTATTTATTAAAGCAAGGGAAAGGAAACAAAAAACTCCACCCATGTTAGCCTCTTAGGATTTAAAGTGGAAGGAAAAGTCAGAAGGTGGTAATCAAACTCTAATCACTCTACTTTTATTAAATCATGACTTTCTGCATTTCACCTAAAGGTTAAACAATGCAAAGCTGTAAGAGGCTGCAGAAAAATCCCTATTAAGCTGCGTCTCAGACTGTTAAGAAGGTAGAGATCATGAGAGTACAATTAAATAAAAAACCTGAACATGTACACTGAAAAAAATCTAAATCTAGATAAGTCATTTCTTTCTTAAAATAAGTGCATTTGTTCTTGGATTGAGGAGGAAAAAGGGACATTTTGCCAATAGAACAAGATCATTTACATTTAAAATAAGAAAACACAATTGCATTGTCTTATTTCAAGTGCATTTTATCTTATTATCTTATTTTAAGAGTAAAAATGCTCATTCCATTGGCAGACTCATCTCATTTACCAACTCAAATTTAGCAGATGTACTCTTAATTTAAGAATTATCTTCTTATTTCTAGATTGTTTTTCCAGTGTATGGCTTGCTTAAGGAAAAGCAAGAAACTGCACTGGAATAAAAATCGAAATCTAGATAAGTAATTTTTTCTTAAAATAAGTACATTTGTTCTTGGATTGATGAGGTAAAAGAGAAATTTTACCAATGGAACAAGACAGTTTACACTTAAAATAAGAAAAAAATAATTGCATTGTCTTATTTCAAGTGCATATTATCTAATCATCTTCTTTTAAGAGTAAAATTCTCATTCCATTGGCAAACTATCTCATTTACCTACTCAAATTAAGGGTAAATACACTTGATTTAAGAAATCTTTACTTATTTCTAGATCGTTTTTCCAGTGGTCCTTCGTTTTAGATTAAAATGGCTTCATGGGTTTCATCTGTGTGACCTCTGGAAGCAATGTGCGCCTGACAGATAAGAGTAAAGGAGAGACGGTTGGCCATGATCTAGATGTCTTATGAGAACCAAACACTGCATCTCAGCACAAACACCTCAAAGTAAAGTGGTGGTGGTTTAGGTGTGTGTATGTGGGGGATTCGAGAATACAAATTGAGTTTTAAACGTAAAATATGCTTTTTAGTTGATTTCTTCCTGCTATCATCGCACCCCCCACAACCATACAAGGGACTAAAATCTCGCCTGATCAGCCAGGCCAACAATTCCCCTCAACGACCCCGATTTTAGAAGCACAGACCAGTATCGGGTATTGCAGGCCAACAAAGAACACAAATGACTCCCGATCCCTAAGGGGGGGGACCCGTTGTTCCGGTTCAATTTTCCTGTTTACTTAGACAACACAAGGCATTGTTTTGGGCCACTCTATAAAGCTTTGAACTCAACGTTAATTCTGACATTTTGATTTGAAAAAGCTCCCTGGATGTGAAGCAAAATATCTTTAAATTTTTTTTTATTTCTATACTAACACACTGGAAAAATCTAAATCTAGACAAGTCATTTTTTCTTAAATTAAGTGCATTTGTTCTTGAATTGAGGAGGTTAGTAAGAAACTTTTCCAATGGAGCAAGACAATTTACACTTAAAATAAGAAAACAAAATTGCATTGTCTTATTTCAAGTACACATTATCTAATTATCTTATTTTAAGAGTAAAAATACTAATTCTATTGGCAATCATCTCATTTATCTGCTCAAATAAAGGGTAAATACACTTAATTTAAGAAATGTTTACTTATTTCTAGATCGTTTTTCCAGTGCATGTATAACCCTACATTAGACCAAGGCTGTACTTTCTCTTTCTCATGGCTGTAAGCAGTTCTTAGGGTGCTGGTATGCGGAGCACATGCCTGTTTCTGGATGACGATTGCAGCTGCTCGCTGTCTCTGGTACTGAGAACGAAGTTTCCGACTTCGGATCACTGACACCAGGCGAACAAAACCCAGCTGAAGCTAAAAAAGAAATGTAAAAGGGAAAAGAAATATAAGGTTAAAATGAAAATCTTCTCCAAAAACAAATAGCTTCACTCTCTAAAGTCTAGAGAAGTTAGGAAGCCTCAAACCTTTCTCTCCACTATGTTTTGTCTGTAAGCTCTCCAGTTCTTCTGTAGCACCACAGCTGCTTCCCGCTTCTTCAGGAAAAGCTTTCTGAGAAAAGGATTTGATTTATTCCACAAACTGTTTCCATAATCCCAATCTTCTCACATCTTCTTGCGTAACATTCCGCTCGCCAAAGTGGAATGTGTGGCAATGAAAAACTGCTCTTTATAGATGTTACATTCATTTAACTAAGCCTTTCACCTGTCCTTTATGCCCAGCATGACCCTCTGGATCACCAGGGCTACCCTGCTCAGTTCTTCTTCCCGTAAATGTTCCAACACAGCATCATGTGCATCCTAGGAATATAAATCAAATATAAAAAGCCTAATTCAACTGATTCTGATTTAAATATTTTGGGATTTAGATAACATTTGAAAATCTGGAACTTTGATGAAAGAAAATCGACTGGATTAGAGCAGTAATTGGAGAAAGCATCATGGCTGCTTCCCTCTTAGTATTCCAGTTGATCTTCATATAATTAGAAACTAGAATAAAATACAATTTCAATCTTTTTTCTTTTGTACCTTAAGGAAAATCTGACTCCTTCCTATTTTCCACTCATCCCTTCCTTTAATCACAGCTCTGCAGATTGCTTCACAACAGGCTGAAGCTTCACTCTGTGGGGAGAGAGAAGCAGAATTGTTTCAAGTATTCAAGAGAAGGCAAGAATGCCCTACAGTTCCCAAATTCAAATTTAGTTTAAATTTAGTTAAATTTCAGGAAGAAATCATGACTTAACGGTTCTGGGGTCACAGATGGTCGTCTTTAGGAGAACTCTGTAGCGCTTCAGGAAGTCCTGAAATGTGTGCCTCACAGGATATCCCAGTTTCCTGATGCGAATAGTGTCCATCATGCCGGAGTACCTCAGCTGACGCATGCAGAGCTCTCTGTTGAAGGTCTAGGAGTGAATGGAAAGAGGGAAGACTTAAGCTATCATAATACAAATAGAAAATAGCTGCAGACACGAATCGGACAGATTTCAGCTTGATTGACAACCTGGAAACTTAGAGGTCAGGGTTTTAGTGGAACTTGTATTCCACTAAAATGTGATTTATAAAAAAAAAAGAAAAAGTTGGCATGACAACCTGCTGTCCCTCACACCAACGTTTAACCATGTATATGCATAATTCACAGGAAAGGGGAAACTGGGAACACAGGTGAGGTGGGGAACTGAAGCCAGATTGTCTCATAACTTCTTTCAGACATTCAATATCCCTTTATATCAAACTTTCATTGTAGATCAACTTTACTGCATCTTAAATTCTAAATCAAAGTCAGCATGACACATAAATGTTTTGGATGCACTGGCTCTGCTGAAGGATGTTAAAGACAGGAGAAAAGGGATGCAACACATTTGCAGCGATTATGAATATTTCCTGGCTCATAATTATACTGTAACCAGTTTATCACTTTAACTGGATAGAACATTGCTGCTGGATCTATGGAGTCCAGCATTAGAGAGACTGACCAACCAGACCCACAACATCCCTTTTTATCAGTGATAAACAAAGGAAACTCTATGGTTAAAACTCTAATGCAGAAAAAAGTAGCTGGGTGTGCATTTCTAAAGAAACCCAATTAAATAACCAGCTAATGTATATATAAGATTTATAATATATATTTATAAATAATAAGTATATACCGGTATGTATTAAATAATTAATATGAGTGAAAATGGACATGGTTACATGTCCCAGTTAATAAACATAATAAATAATCCATGCATCTATAAAGAGATTAGATTTTTTTGTTGTTGCTTGTATTAAAACCATGTTACGGATTTATGGCCAAAAACCACTTTAAAAGCTTTAAAAGAGCCAATTCCCTAACAGGTGTTAAACATAATAAGCAATGAACTCTTTGCCTTTAGCCATTTTGGTAACAAATAGTTTCATTAAATGAATGAATAGTTTCATTAATTGCTCAAATTATTTATAAATCTGGAATATCACAGCCAACGCTAAGCACACTAGCATCTATCATCCAGGATGGTTTGTTTATATAATCAGTCCATATCAGTCTCTGTTATCATTCATTGCTTATAATTGTCACGCCATCACTTTGGTCATCATATTCATCCAACACTTCCAGTTTAATATTGGAACCAATTAAATGACATTCATCACTTGCCCTGTTTGAACATTCAGACATTTAAGAAGAGCTTTGCTCTGACCATTTATGGTTGAATGTGGGTGTAGATGGCCTAACATGAGGTGGAGCCGTGGACGCATACTTTGAAAGAACAGTTGTGACTTACGAACGAAAGTTACTTAGTTCTGCGATCAAGCATGGCTTTACAGATCTTTTTTTTTTTTTTGCCATTTGCTATCTCTTAGATTTTTGGTATATGTAGACTTTTTGTATGGATCATATGCAATGGTTTATAAATGAAACCCCAGATCTTATATTGTTTCCTACTAAAGGAGAACAAATATAAGCTATTATTAGTATGGGCGAGGTATTTAAATGAAATCAGAGCACAAAGGTGAACAATGTTTGTCGACATGGCTCAGCTTTAATATCTAGACTTAAAGAAGATAACAGGAGGGGAAAATACTTCAGCTAGGTTTCAATGATTATATTACTTTGGTTCTCTTTTCTCTGGTTCAGCCCCAAAACAGGTTTAATTTGAATCTACAGAAAAAATATTAAATATAATATATATAATATAAAAGATTACATTTATACAATGTCAGAGTTGTACTTTACACTTTGTATTAGCAGGATCGATTGTGATCCAAGTTACTTCCCATTTGTTTTATAGCCCATTTATTAGGATGAAACCTTTATGTAACAGGACTGATACCAGAGGGTTTTGTTTTTCATACAATAGATCAGCTATGCGTCTCTGTGACTGCGCCGCCCTGGTCGTTGCTCGTTCACCTTAGACTGCTTTTCGTTGTTGGGTTTGAAGCAGCGGATGAAGAAGGGCTGGCAGACAGACAGAGCCTTCATGAGGGAATCCAGAGACACTCGGAACTGACCAGTCAGCGTTGGCACTTGTTTACGGTTATCGTTCTGCGGCTGCAGAGAACACATACAGTGGAGACAACAGACATAAATAAACTTGAAAAAGATGCAGTAAAGAATTAAATAAAATAACAATAGTTAGAGAAACATGCTTTAAAATTTATTTTTAAGTTCTGGAACTGAGAAGTCAGTAGGTTCGATTAGAAAAATGGAAAAAAAGTAAAATTTATTTTTATTTTTAAATCTAAACATCTAGTACTTATAAAAAATAATCTAGCTCTAGATTAGGCTGGAAAAGATCTATTACATAAATCATTGTATTATTTATTCCACACATGTATTATCTTAAGGTCATTGATGAGTAAGTAAAACTGCGCCACTAGACCCACTTGATTTCAGAAAGAATCACCGTCTGATTCATAAACCAGACAGCAGAGTGATTCAATCTTGGCAAAGTCACAGAGCAAAACAAATCACAGCCTGATAGGAGCTGTAGGTGAATCAATGACATCACAACCCTGAAGGATTCACTCACTGATCTATGGAGAATGAATAAGTCAATCACCACCAAGAACTACTTATCAAATCACTTCTTCATAGCATTTTTGTGTTTTTTTTTCAGTAGGTTGGCTTGATCAATCTTGAGTTACCCCTAGATAACTTTAGCTCTTAGCTAACAGATGCCAATGTATTACCGACAGAACACAGAAGCTCCACCCCTAACCTAAGCACTGACTTTAAGTGAACAGATAAAGTAACCAACCAATCAGTTAAGTTTGTACGGAAGAGGATTAGGGCCACTGAAAAAAAAAAATGTTAACTGATTTTTTTATTTTTTATTTCAGTGCAGTATGGGAAAAAAGTCAGAATTCTAACTTTAATCTCAGAATTCTGACTTTAATCTCAGAATTCTGATTTTTTTTTCTCAGAATTCTGACTTTTTTTATTGTCAGAATTCAGTCAGAATTCTGAGATTAAAGTCAGAATTCTGACTTTAATCTCGGAATTCTGAGAAAAAAGTCAGAATTCTGTGAAAAAAGTCAGAATTCTGGCTTTTTTCCCATGTTAAACTGAAATAAAATTAAAAAATCTGTTAACTTTTTTTTAAGTGGCCCTAATCCTCTTCCGTACTGTAAGTTTGTTCAGTACATTCACACAAATGATTCTCTCACACAGGGGGCGCCACAGCCCCAACTAGGAGTTAACGTTTTTCAGTAGCTTTTGTTTGTTTGTGTGTTGATTGCTTGGCAAAATTACAGAAAAAACTAAAGCGTAGGTTCCTCTGGAATTTTTTATCCCATTTAATTTTTATATCCTGAACATGATTTTCCTTTTAAAAAGGATTTCTTAACATTGTGACGTAGCGAATTAAGTTGAATGGAGGGGAACTACAAGTAATTTCTAGGGAGAACCGCTAGCTGATTTACCATTGCCCTCAGGATAAGAAAAGCTGGATCAGAAAGGAAGAAGTAGTTTTATACCCGTGGGAAGCTTTTGGGCTTCATGATGAACTTGGCGTTTTTAGTTGGCTTCACTCCGTTGGTTGATAGGTCCTTCTCAAAGATCTGATGCAGGAACTTATTGGTGGACACTTCGATTGTTTTAATGATGTCATAACTAACTTCATCTCTGTTCTTTTCCAGGAATCCTTCACAGGAAACATACATCTTTAATTTAACAGACAGTCTGCATCACCTAAGTTTTGCAAAACAGTATATAAGTTGTATACCATTGATGTCGTAGTAGACTTCGCCAGCAAAGTGATTAATTCCAAAGTATATGTCGTGTTCACTCTTGGAATGGATGTAGGCTTCATCTCCTTTGTTCTCTTGGTTCAGCTTGGTCAGCAGAGTAAGGTCTGAACCCTTTATAGAAAACATAACGGAAACTACATATAAAAAAACAACAGAAAATGTTTTGACTGGAAAGTCTAAAACTGAGGTTGGTCAGCGTACCTTTGGAAAGTGGCTCTCCTCATCTATCAGAGCCAGCACGTTGCACGGTTTCTCAGCCAGCAGGTGAAGGATTTTCTCGTTGTCGCTGAACTTGATGTTTTTCCATACGACCCCTTCTTTCAGGTACTCCTCTTGCTCCAGCTTGAAGATGTGGGCCACAAAGAACTGCTGCAGCTTCTCGTTAGCAAAATTAATGCACAGCTGCTCAAAACTGTTCAAAGAGAAGCACAAATACAATGTAAGTACTGTCAAGCTCTGATACAAATGAATAATATAAGGAGAAAGTCCCCTTCCTGACCTGTTTGTTGTGAAGTTCTCAAAGCCAAATATATCCAGCAAGCCGATGGAGAGCAATGAAGATTTGGGTCTTTTTTCAAGTTTCTGATAGATGACCTCATTAATTTTTCCACTGATCCATATGAACAGCTTATTGTAGATTGCCTGTTAACAAAACCATAAAAAAACTCAAAGATATTTTTTTTTCTTAGTTCCCAATTCTACAACAAATTAACTTAATAAATTTAAAACTTAGAAAGAACTTTATGCTCTCAGATGCTTAAACTGGGCTGCTTAAATCAGTTGTCCTAATATAAGAGGGACCCAGTATGAGCAAAGAAAAATGGCCTCCAAGATATTAATCGAAACATTTGTGAAGAAAATTTTCCTGAAGTAATTTCTAAAACTTTTAATAAGACAAAATTAAAGTAATAAAATGAAGCTCCCCATATCTTATGCTGACCAATTTGTACATAATCAATTTAATTAATACTTGTGGCCAATTCCTTATGACACTAGAGAGATCTCCTACATAAGTGTCAAGTCAAAGATAACTAATTTGAATGAGTTTTCATTCCTGATTTGTACTTTCTAACGAGCAATTAGATAAGCTTGTTTGTGTGGTTCTGATCTATGTGTTGCTAGATAATCTCAGTGAGGTTTGATTTTAATCTGATTTCCATATAGAACCACAATCCTCTTACTTTGCCTCTGAAGTAAAACTGGACATTTGGAGAGAATGAGATAGTCTATCTAATCCGGGTGGCTTGAGCGTGGATTGGCTCGCAGACCTTGCCAACTATCCTACCCCTTTCCCATTCCCCAATCCACAGGAGGGGGATTTTTATGATTTATGGCCTAATAAGGAAATGCTCAGCAGTGATTTACAGCAGGTGGCAGGGCTGTGGTACCTTTACAAAGGCGTCTCTGCAGTCGGTGGCCTGTTCGGCGCTGAGGGGCTTCGTTACTCTCTCTCTGTTGGTCATAAAGGAGCGATGCGTCAAACTGTTTTCAAGGACAGACCTTTGCACCTGCAAAGCAAACACACATTAAAATCTAAATAAAGCTCAGCAATACTTCTAGTTGAAAGATCTGTGAACTGGTCTATGGTCCGCTACCTGTAACAGTGATGAGGCGATGTTGAAGTGCTCCGATTTTCCCACGTTGCTGGTTTCCAGGTTTGCGTTAGTGGAGGCTGGTTGCATGAAACAGGACAAAAAACAGCGACTTTAAAGAATAACTTCAAGAACTTAATTTGTTGTGAATTTTGAGTGTGTGGGTATACTTATTTATTTACATTCTCTGTAGGCAAGGTAGTTTTAAAAAAAAATGATACTTTATTCATGTCTGATTAACTCCACCTTCTTTATTTTATCATATCAGTAAAACCAAAAACTTTAATTAGATTTGATATGATAGATTATTAAAGATTGCTGCTCAGTGATGTGGAATATAACAACACGTCTTTATTACATGTTTTTAGCTATTCAAAATCAGAAAAGTGTGGTGGGCATTTGTTTTCAATTCCCTTTTTAACCCCCTTATGAAAACATGATTGGCAAACAGAGTCCACTTAGTTAAGTTTTCACCTATGTTTATTAATGCAGTTGTGTTTTGAAGGTTTTTATTAGATTCATTAGGGAACATTAGCGAACAACCATTATTATGAAAACCAGGGAACACTGACAGGTCAGGGATGAAGCTGATGCTCAAACGGGAAAATATGATAAAAACAGCTGTTCAATCCATCCACCTAAACTATGAATAGCTTAGTTATCATTAATCAGAAAAGCATTAAAAATGCCAAATGTAACTCTGGAGGAGCTGCAGAGATTCACAGTGGAGGAAGTATTTGTGCTCAACAGAAAAGTGACAATGAAAGGCAAAGATGAAAGAAAGCCGAGGAAAGTCAGTTCGCAGTGCGGCAAAAGTGTGGTAAGGGATGCAAAGTCAAAAAAAGCAAAAAAAAGTTTTTTGCCAAAATTCCAAATTAGATGGAAAACTAACCAAATCTACAGGAGGAGACACAACAGTGGGAGAATAATGCTGAGGGAATGTTTGTCATGAGCAGGAAGAGAGAAGCTAATCCTAATTAAATGACCCAATGCTTTGAAATAAGGACCAAAAACATGCAGGCAAATACAGTGAAACGGTTTAACAGTTAACATAGTCCTGTATTGAGAGCAGCTTAGTGAAAGTCTAGACCTAAATCTAAGTATAAATCTGAAATGAATGCCTTTCACACACACTTTCTTTCTAATCTGAGTGAGCGGGAACAATCATGGAAGCAAGAGTCTCCATGCAAACTGTCCAGACTCTAGAGAAGAAAGGCTGGTAGATTTTTGAAAAGACTTGTCTAATAGTAGGGAATAATAAGGAACTAATAGTAGAGAGAGTTACCTCATTTTCACATTCAAATATGTGCAGGGAAAAACAAAGCTCGTTATCATGATGTAATTATTGGTAAATTTGCTTTCCTCTTCTGTAAAACAGCTGATTTAATCGGCTTTTGTTCCGTGGAGCTACGCTTGAACAATTTTATACTGAAATGAATTACAACATGCGCAAAGCAAACATTTTCCCTGCTCTTGATCTAAAGGAGCTCACCCTCGAAGCTGACGTTCCCCAGGTGTAATATAGCTGCCAGCAGCTTGAGGATATCCTGGAACTGCTGTTCCGAGAAGGTCAGGACTTTCATGGCTGAGCGGATGCGCTTGAAATCTTTAGCATCATCTCTGCCTTCACACAGTGTGCTCTCACCCTTAATGACACAAGACACTTTGATATTGTTTTGCACGTTTCTTTGGCAGACTGGAATTTGAAATGGATACTTTGATTACCTTGCTAAGGTAGTTATATGTCTTGGAACGCTTGAGACCCAAAGTTTTCCTCTCCTCAGAGTTGGTTCCTGCTAGCAGGCAGTAAAATATATGGTAGTTTCGCTCCTCCGGGGTCTGAGATGGAGAGAAATTAGCTTATGGTGACATAAGACTAAACCAGACATTCTTAAAGCTTCTGTTTCACTGGATTGCATTGAACAATATAATTCATTCATGAGCAGTTATGCAATAATTTCACCAAGCAGATTATAAAACCAGCACTAACTTAAACAAACAGCATAGATACCCTTCATTGATTTTATGATTTTACAGTACATACCTGTGTGCCCTAGAGATAACAAGCACAATCTATTAGGAGGGAGCTACCTCACCTGATGGCACAAACGAGACTTTTCCAGAAGGTACTGCTCCACCCGGGCTCCTTCAATCACCCCGTCTTTGTTGAAGAAGATCTCCAGGTATTTTCCAAAGCGGCTGGAGTTGTCGTTGCGGATTGTTTTTGCATTCCCAAAAGCTACAACAAACAGCAAACAATGTAGTTAAAAAAAAATAAATAAATGATTTTGTGTTTCTGCTCAAAGAAGCATGAGGGCAGCTCAGGTCTAACTGTGCTTTTTTACCCCCCAGCTTTTATTGTCATTACCAGAGGTGTCAAGTAACGAAGTACAAACACTTTGTTACTGTACTTAAGTACAATTTTTAGATATCTATACTTTTACTCCATTACTTATTTTTGTTCCTACTTCTGACTTCTATTCATTACATTTTAACACAAGTATCTTTACTTTCTATTCCTTACATTTTTAAAACAAATGTTACTACGTAGATACTCTTGGCTTTGATTTAATGTTTATGAATATTTATTTCATGTCATGTGCGCCATCCAATGCAGATCATTGGCGCAATCATTCATATACCGCAAACACTCATTGGTTAGCTAAAGGAAATCATCAGAAGCAAGCAGGTGTTCTTCAAACTGCAAATGTGAATTGTCTATGCCATGCTACAATGTTGGATTCAGAAAAAGATGCTGAAATGTCTGAAAGGTCAGACACAGGATAGAGCGTATCTGAGATGGAGACCAACAAGACCTCCCTCATCTTTGCTCTAGCTCAAAGAATTTTTTTTAAAAATAGTCGAAAAATTTAGTTTTCAATCCATATAGCGGCATCTGGCTGTTTTTTTGAAGGTTATTTTATACTTTTATACTTTAAGTAGATTTTGGAGCACATACTTTTTCACTTTTACTTGAGTAAAGAGGTCAAGTTGATATTTCAACTTTTATCAGAGTGTTTTTAAACTGCAGTATCTATACTTCTACTTAAGTAACAAATGTGTGGACTTTTGACACCACTGGTCATTACTCCGTCACAAGTACGGAGCAACGAAAGGAACTCTCTGCATTGAAACCATCCCCTTGGGGAGCAGTGGGCTGCCATTGTGCGACACCCAGAGAGCAGTGTGGGGTTAAGGGTCTTTTTGGTTTTTTTTTTGTTCTTTTTTTGATTAAATCAACATAAATCACAGCACAGTATACAATTACCAACCCGAAAACCTCCCTCCCCTCACCCCCCCAAACTCATTCACATGCATTCACCCACATTGAATGAATTAATTCATCCACAAATTCACAGTAACTTTCTGAAGGACTGGTGTGGACATGTCCCCACCATTAATTTCAATACATACATTGGAAATATGTGAGACAAATTTCTAAATTTGATTTTGCTGCGTTTGAAGGAGGACATTCACTAATGTATCTGAAAGGGAAAACATTTATCAATCTATCCACATTTTTCTGGATGGATGGATTGATGGAGGAATTAAACCGAAATTGTGTGCATACTAGGCAGGATATATTGCTGTTGGTATCGGAATTGGCTGTTATTCCTTTTTTTATATACATTAATGTCTAACTACCTATAAATATAAATATCAGTGTATTTTGGTTATTTTGTGTTCTCAACAATAGGAAAGTATTCAATAAATATACACTATATTGCCAAAAGTATTTGCTCACCCATCCAAATTATTGGAATCAGGTGTTTCTATCACTTCCATGGCCACAGGTGTATAAATTCAAGCACCTAGGCATGCAGACTGTTTTTACAAACATTTGTGAAAGAATGGGTCGCTCTCAGGAGCTCAGTGAATTCCAGCGTGGAACTGTGATAGGATGCCACCTGT